TTTAATAACAGTCAAGTTTTTGTTTCTGTTGCTTTGTAACTCAGGAGCTGAATGGTTTGGGAAATGTGGGTACAAACAGGGTCAACATTCATGTCTTAGTTGTATTTTACAAGTAGTTTGAAGTTTGGTGGTCCACCCACTTTCAGTCAGACCCACCTGGAAACTTTTCTGTTCCTGCTTCTGGATTACATTAGAACAAATAAATAACTATTTTGGGCTTACATAATCCAGTATGGGTAATTTGGGCCATGCCAGTACTATACGACTACTGCTGTCTATTCTATTCTATTCTATTCTATTCTATTCTATTCTATTCTATTCTATTCTATTCTATTCTATATGATAAGGCATCTGTATAAAAGTTAATGGGTTGTTAAACAAAATCAAATGCTTAATGTGGGTAAAAGATGAAATCAGAACGTAACTTAGCAGCTTGTGAGTGGTTGAAGCCAGCAGGACAGGGTTTTTGCTTTCTTGTGTGAATTTTGAACATGAAAAGACTGACGTCCTTGCTTCTGTTCCTTCTCTCCTCATCTCACAGCTCAACCAAATCCGCCGAAAATTCACGAAGGATGGTGGGCTTACAAGGAGGTTGTTCAGGGGAGCTTTGTTCCAGGTAAGCCTCAAACAGCACTTTGATGTGTGGAACCTTCTCGAAGAATAGCAATTTTTCCTGCATACACTCTAAATGCTATGTGTGCTTGATCTTGAAGCTGGAGCTTATTACATATTTAAGATAACATCAGGCCACCTTGCCGTTGGCAAGAGTTTTATTTTCTCACTTTGACAAGACCTCTTTGTCCTTTTCACACTGTAGACGTCTTTTCCCATGATTGACTGACAGCGGCTCTCTTTACCTTCAACCTTTTCCATCTTGTTGTGTATCTGTGTGTCAGGCCAATTATTTTCCAATATTGAATTTTATTTATTTATTTTTTTGCTGAGCTGAAAGCTTTTATTAAACCCTGCAGTTGTATGTGACTCTGTGTATGCAAGGTGTTTTTGAGTCTTTTTGAAGACCAATTAGGAATATTTAAACTGGGGACATTTGCCTTGTCAGTTTTTACCAGAATTGTAGTAAGCTTATGGCAGTAGCTGCAGATCTGAGGTTTATATATGTGTGTGTGTGTGTGTGTGTGTGTGTGTGTGTGTGTGTGTGTGTGTGTG